TCCCTACCGATTCTGTCTTACCTGGCTTGTGATTTGGGGAACCTTCTCTTCTCTTCTTGTAGACACTTCTTGACTCGCAGTCGGTTAGGCAGCAACTGCATCCAATCACACGCTTGGCTTAGTGCGAGGTTTGCGTCCAATCATAATTTGTCAGCTTTCCCAACCATGGCTTTGCCGCACTGTGAAAGTGTGAGGTGTGTCAGATTGTTAATACGAATGCAACTGGAGTAAGTCACTGTCCAAACGGTCATGTGACTGGCCGCATTAGTTTACACCCCTTATGAACGCCTCTACGTGAATTACATACGCAACCTGGCCATATAAACATCAGGAGTTCACACAAGGCGGGTGGACAAGAGGTTTCACGAGTGAATCAACGGATAGTAAGGCGTGCGTATTGTACTTTTGAGGTAATAATGCTCTGAAAAGCACATCCATATGGCTAGGTAAATACGTATCATGGTCGAGATGATCCATCCATTTTTCCACACAAACGTACCAGAGGTCGGGAAGTCTTTGCACCTTTCTGACTGGGTCCACGTCAGATATGGTCAACTGTGTGCTACTATTAAAGGACTCGAATACGCGACCTTAAATCTCCATTTGACGTTGTCAGTTAGACTATTCGCGAATTTGTTCTGACAACAAGTGGCGGTGACTTAGGTCCCTACGTTACGAAACTTCCAGTTGTAAGGTGGAAAAATCCACGGCAACTTGCGAGATCCACCCACCACTCATTCTGTAAGTAAGACGGTCACCCTCTCAGAACAGCAAACTCCACTTATGTCGGGGGGCAAGACTTACTGAAAGAAAAGAGGTTGTTCTGCCAAACGACGAGAGCAGCAGTAGGCCTAGCCATGTCCCAGTTAGCGAGGTGTGACCACTGTCCCAACGGTCGGTTGTTGTCGGGTAGGCTGAAAACATCGACTGTGCTCAAATACTGCCCTCCACCATTGCTGCCCCCAGCAATGAAAATGCAGCCCCTGAATACAACCGCGGCGTGTTCTTTACGTGGCCCTAGCATGGCAGCAGCATCTCGCCAAAAGACGTTTGAGCTTTTTAGTGGTCCCTGCCAGTCTGATGGCTCCCGCAGGTGGCAAATCTCTACTGAGGAGATACTTTCGAAGCATAAGGTGCTCTGACGTTGTATGCCGTCTTCTCCGCCGATTACAAACACGCGTCCGTCCGGCAGGGCAACTGCGGCAGCGCTTTGCCCCGCTTTTTTCAAATTTGGCAGGTTGTACCACCTACAGTAGGAGAAAAAAGACTAGTGAAAGGGACGGCATAGGTAGGCAAATACAAATATGTTCTGTTACTTTCATTCAGCCAATAAAGCACGCACTTATGGTCATCCGGTAGAATTTAGCATTCTAAATTTCTACGTTGCTATCAATGTGCACGAGTGTCGTGCAAGGTTATCTCACAGGTACGACACCGCACACACACAACAAACTCACTTGTCTTCTCGCGTAGAATAGAGTAGACATGAATCGAGTTGGCTGTTGCCCCCGTCTCTACTGCCGCTACACACGCATATCACGGTCTGCTCACCAACCGCAACAGCGACTGCTGTATGCTTACTGCGCCAGCCGGCAATCGAGGCACATTCGCTCCATTGGCGTTTCCTCGCGTCAAATTTATCCACGTTTGTATAGCCCCTGTCCTGCTGGTATCCTCCGATTGCAAAGATGCAATCTGTTTTTGAGGGTAATGAGAAACGGAGTAGGAAAGTGCGTGGATAGAGGGAAATAGAGGGCTTAATACCTAAAGTACGATTAACCAAATTTGTAGCCTAGTGACAGTACGTCGAGCAGGTGTTTATCGGGCGTCAAGTTGGTTAAAATATGCACGTACTGCGCCGGAGCACTTGGAGAAGGTGACCGAGCCTTGGCCGGATTGATACTGTGTAGGAGCTTTGTCTGAACGTAGCTGATGAACTGCTCTCGTTCTCCGTCCTTTAATTCGACTAGAACTGTCATGTGGTACTGCAGATTACGATTCAGCTCATTAAGAAATCCTCAAGTCGTGGTTCTCCGAATATTGCTTCAATGTTTTTCCGAGGATATCGTCCGACTACTAGGAAACGACCTCCAGTATTCGCAAGGATATTCAGATTTAGCTATGCAGTTTGTGATGAAATCAGAAAATACTTTCCCTTTGGTAAGACGGATGTTTTAACGCAGGTACTCACTAAGTACCTTGTTTAAGTTCAGCGATGATACTCATGTAAGCATTCAGAAAGTCAAGTAAGGCGAACGTACGTATTCATATTCAGTCATATACCATAATATAAGGGAGGGTAGGCTTAAAAAAAGTGAACTTGACGCTCGAAAAACACGCGCTCTAACTTCTATTATTGGGCCACACATTTTGTTTTCCTTATAAAAGACCGAACAGATTAGCGACAGAAGTTCAAGTTGAAAACCTCTTGAGTCGAATAGATAAATGTTAGTAATCGATCAGGTGACATAAGTATATTGAAACGCGACAGTAGACTCTATACTCAACGTTTTACGGACAGGGAAAAGCCATCCCAAGAGTACACCGTTTTAACACTTTTTTAATGGCTGAAATCGAGAAATCGCCAATATAAGACCGATTGGGACACAGGGGGTTCATCTAAAGCCATCTGCGATTTAAAACCACTGCCACCCTCCGTGGGGTCCTCTAAGCTTAACCGAAAGTCAGCACAATGTCGCGCTTGAATGTTTAAAAGAAAAGCATTGGCCAAACGCAGCCTCCACCGGAAAGCAGCCAAGCTTAGCGTGTTTCTGCTGTACACTGTTAGAAGGTAATAAAAGGAGGCTTAGCAAATTCCCCCATATCCCCATGGGTATGTGTGGCAGACGAGACGAAACATGTTCATCCCGTAAAACAGCCATAAAACTATTGGCACAATTTGGCCGCGATTTTGAAAAAATAAATGAAAACAGTAATAAGGCTGCCAAAAGTTCGAGTCACTAAGACTTACCCTCAATGACCACCAAGGCCGCGTCTAATCCGCCTGTTATGTCCGTAAGTTTCTGCGCGGTGTTTGTGGCAGCATCGTACCGGTTCAGCATACAATGCTCTCCGAATGGTGACATAACAAGCAAACAAATATCCTCCACGGAATTCTTTGGGTGCTCATTCAATGGGCGCTTTCTTTGTGCCGATAGCTCTCTGGGTCTCTAATTAAACGGACAATGTCTATCGCCCCTCGAGGATGGAATGTCAATCCATTTGGTTATTTGACCTAGAAGTCGTCTTACATAGTTAAAGACGTAAAACATCATCCAACAGCTTAAGAACATTCCACATTTGTATTCCACAACCTATCATCGTAGTCCTGCATCCGGTATCGGAACCTGACATCGACTTGATACCAACGCACTTCCCTCATAAACGCCTCCACCCGAAGGTCATCTGCGCGCAACAGGGACAGGACAGCGTCAGGTGGCAACTGGGTGATTACATAACTAGCAACTGAGGCCTCAAAGGTAGCCTTGATGTGCTGCACGCAGGCGGTCTTTAACATGCCACTTTTCAGCAACTGTGCCATCTCCCAGACAGTTTATGTTTTCGGCATTCAGCCTGCAGCCAGCTAATGATGACGCGGACTAGAACACTTACCTGGCGGCAATAAAAGTCACCGCCCACTCCTCTATCTGAGGCATTACGAATTGTTGCGACAGCATTAGCTTCGCGAATTTCTAGCTGGCCTGTGTAAAGGTAATTTATGAATGGTGTAGCCACTCTAGAGTGCAGTTGTAATATAGCAACATGAACTAGTACTCGGACGAAATTTTCGGCCATTTGAGCAGGACAGTCTGGTCTTTCTTCGGGGTTTCACACAGGGCATCACTCAGTGAGGGCAGCCGGCAAGCAAAAACGACCCTGTGTGCAGACAGTCTGACATTGCCTTGCAACTTGAAATGAGAAGGGAATTAGGGCTGCATGTAATGCACTTACCTCTATAGTCCAGTCGGTCAGCTTACCAGCCACACGAAGGCTGTTTAGTTCGGGGAGGCATCTTATAAGTGCAAGTTTGTCTTCAAAAATCTGAGTCTCCGGATTGGTCATTTTACATACAAAACAAAAAGTCTAATAAGGAAATAAATTCAGTCAGACAAAGGTATAAATATAGAGTAACCGCACGTGGGTAGTTTTTCACAAACTTTTATCCCTATCCTTAACCTCCGTAAACCGTTTGGTTTGAAATGAGCGACAAAAAGCATTAAATTGTTACGGCAATGAGCATGTTTGACCATTACATGTTCGCGAGGAGGGCGCAACTGCATGGGTTTGGTCTTTGTTGACTAAGAACGCGGTCGAGTTGGAATTCTGAGAAGATACAAGTTATATTCCCGAATCCGTGTAAACTAATCATCTTGTCGGAGTCTGCCATTTACGTTGTTTCGATTCGGATGATGGTCATGCGCGCCTAGTTGACTAAGATGCCGGTTTAATTTATTTTTCGTTCGTTTCAAAACATTTCAAAACAAGTTTCGGCAGGAGTTTCCTTGGTAGTGGTCTCGGATACAGCAAGCCGTAGGTT